CCGTAGCGGAGCAGGAAGCGGTACCGGAGCAGGAGGCGGTACCGGAGCAGGAGGAGACGGTACCGCAGGAGGAGCCGCCYGAACCGGAGCCGCCGGCCGAGGCGGCCGGAGCCGCCGGCAGCGGCGTCAACGGCGCCGAGCGGCCGCCCGAGGAAGGGCCGAGCGGCGACGAGGCGGCCGCCGCCGAGGCCAAGGAGGAGGAGGAGGAGGACGAGGCCGCGCGGGCCGGTGAGGAGCCTCCCGGGGCCGCGTCCCGGCGTCGCTCCCGGCTCCCGCGGATCCCGGCTCCGCTCTCTGGGAGCGTCACACCCGGGGCTCCCCCGGTCCCGTCCCCACCGGGCACCTCCGGTCCCCCCCATCGGTGGCCGCGTCCCCCTCTCCATGCCAGATCCCCCAACTTGGACTTTCTGGCTCCCATAGGGAGCCCCAYGAGGCGTCTTTCCCCCCATCCACCCCAGGGCACGGGGCTTTTTCCCATTTTTTTCGCTTTTCCCGCCTTGGATCTCATCCGGATCCCTATTCCCCACCGTGACGCAGGTGGGAAAAATCCCTCCCATCCTCCCAGAGAATCCCGGTCCCCTGCGATTCCCGGGATTTCAGCGGCTCCGCTTTCCCCGGCATCGCCTACAACCGGGGCAGGTGGACGGTTGTCTGCATGGAAAACGCTCCCGGGGTGTTGAGGTGCAGCGAGGCGGGATGGAATTGGGAAGAGGTTTGGGTTACGTGGCCGGAAAACAACCCCCAAAATCCTCTTGGAAAAGAGAGAGGGTTTTGTGGGAGCAGGGCCGTTTTGGGTTGAAATTCTAGTGTTTTGGGGTTTAGAAACCACGTGCGGGTGCCGGTTTCTGCCGCTGTTTCGAGCCCGTTGATTCTATAGGAGCCCAAGCGACAGCCCTCACTGCAATAGCCCTGGCTTCTGGATTAAACCTTTCCGGGCCTTGGGAAAGAAGGAAAATTTGATTATTTGGCCAAAAATGCAGAAAAAAAAGAGGGATTTTGCTCTTTTCCAGAGGCTCGGCGCTTGGGATCCCACCGAGCCCTCCGTGGCTCTTTACCCCGCGAGGGCTTTTGGACTCCCCTGTTGTTATTTAACCCGGGGACGTTGAACCYGGTTTTGGGTCATATCTGTCAGGTTTTGGGTCTCTTACCAGTTTTTGGGTATCTGTCTATCAATTTTGGGGGTATTTATTTGTCAGTTGTTGGGGTATCAGTTTTGGGGTATTTATTTGTCAGGTTTTGGGGTATCTGTCAGTTTTTGGGGTAACTCAGGTTTTGGGGGTCTATCGGTTTTGAGGTATCAGTTTTGGGGGTATTTGTCAGGTTTTGGGGTAACTGTCAGGCTTTGGGGTATCTGCCAGGTTTTAGGGTATTTGTCAGGTTTGGGGGTAACTGTCAGGTTTTGGGGTATTTATCTGTCAGGTTTTGGGGTATCTGTCAGTTGTGGGGTATTTTTAGGTTTTGGGGTAATTGTCAGGTTTGGGTATTTATCAGTTTTCGGGTATCTATCTCTTAGTTTCGGGTGTCCCCCACTTTTTGGGCATGAATCCCCCAGTTTTTGGGCATCCCGCTCCCAGTTTCCGGAGCACTGAGTTTTCCTTTGGCTCCGTGGTGCTGGGAACAGCCTCGCGGCGGGAAGGGAGAGGGTCGTGGGGAGGCCCCGGCAGCGGCGCCGCGTCCGGATCGGCCCCTCTCCGCATGGAGCAGCGCTTCCCCGGGAGCTGCAGGGCGCAGGGGCGGGAGCGCCCGCTCTTTGAGGCTGAATCCCGCGGATTTGGGTCCTGGGGGTCGCTAACAGCCGCTGGTTTTGGTCTCTCGCAGCCGACGAGGAGGACAAGGCGAAGGCGGCGGGCTCGGACGCGGAGCGCCGCGGCCTCAAGCGGCAGCGCGACGAGAAGGACGAGCACGGCCGCGCCTACTACGAGTTCCGCGAGGAGGCCTACAACAGCCGGTGCGTGGAGCCCGTCCCGGCCGTGTCCCGTGGGAATTCCGCATCCCGGCCGCCCCGCGGCGCCTCGGCGGAGCCCCGTCCCGGCCGTATCCCCTGGGAATTCCTCATCCTGTCCCATGGCACCTCAGCGAACTGGGACGGAGCGGGTGGCTGCATCACCTGCCGCCGACGGGTGTTTTCGTACGGGCTGCCACCGGCTGTTGTCCGCGCGCGCCTGTTGTCTCACGTGGTTTCTCCTTCTCGCCGCTTGTAGGTCCAAGTCTCCCCCTCCGCCCGAGGAAGAGCCCAGGGAAGGGGAAGATGATGAGACCGTCGTCATCCTGGACACCTGTACGTGTGGGGCCGGGGCCTGCGGGTGTCACTGGGAGCACGCGGTTGTCCCCAGGCGGCGCCGGGAGTGCTACAGGCCRCCGGAGGACCGTGAAACGGCTGCCTGTTGAGTGGGTGGTTGTGGGGACAACAGGGGCGCGTGGTGGGCCGGATGGACACCCGCGGCGGGTTGTCCTCGGAGGCAGCCAACAACCCACAGAACCGTTYCGGGCTGGGAAAGGCGGGTGGAAAATCCCTGTGTGGGAGCTGGGCTTGATCCAACCGGCCTCCTCTTCCTCAGATACTTCCGACCTGCACTTCAAGGCCAGCAAGGACCGCTATGGAGGACAGCCCCTCTTCTTCGAGAGGTTCCCTGCGCTCTGGTCCGGAGCCAGGGGCACCCACGGCGTCACCCAGGGCAAGGTGTGCTTCGAGGCCAAGGTGGGTCGAGCGCCTGTGCTGGGGCGGCACCGCCACTGCGGTCCCGCTGTACCCCTGCTGGCGCCTGTTGGCGTTTGGGGGCTCTTGGGTGGGGTGGTGGGTTTGGGGGGCTGTTGGGTGGGCTGTTGGGTGGTGTTTGGGGGCTCTTGGCTGGGGTGTTGGGTGGTGGTTGGGGACCATTCGGTGTTGGGTGGCGTTTGGGGACTCTTGGCTGGGGTGTTGGGTGGTGGTTGGGGACCATTGGGTGTTGGGTGGCGTTTGGGGGCTCTTGGCTGGGGTGTTGGGTGGTGGTTGGGGAC